CTGACTTAAAACTGTGCTCAACTTATAAAGGAGCTCAACTTACAAGAGACTGAAACTAAAGGATTCAGCAACAGATTAAAAAAAAAAAAAGGAGATTTAAAAAATGATGCACAACTGAAACTTTCATTTGCAAGTTATTCAGGCCCTGAATTTCTAAACAATTCTTGGCCAAGTTGTTCAAGTCAGTGTCAGCAAATATGTTACGGCTTTGGTTAACCTCAACTAAACTATTTTGTAGGGCTCAGCCTGACATCAAAAAAATGAATTACTTTCTCAAGCGCCACAAGGCCATGCAGGACAGCCAAAAAATATTTATCTAGGACAGCCAACAGCAGATGGTGAAAGGTCCTATAAAACACTAATGTTAACCAAACCTATTCAGCACCAGAGATACCTGACTGTTTTATCAGAGGTCTGTTAAACCTGTAATGGTAGCTTTCACTCATTTCCCTGCTTTGGTAGAACCACTGGCAGTGGGGCCGAGTCGCACTCCATTCACGTTTCTCTAGACTCCTCCTAAAATACTGGAATCACATAAAGAGGAGCCAAGAAAAAGGAGCCATAAGTCTAAGTACTATTGTATGTGGGTGTGAAAGTAGCCAAAAATGTCTGAAGGCTGAACGTTTCCTTTGAATCCAGACCTACCAAGCAACAAACAGCAGAGTCTAGCAGTTCTGGAAGGTTTGTACTTAGCAGTATGAGAAATGAACCATGAACAGCATCAGCCTCTGCTGCTCATAGGCAGCCATTAGCAATCTACGTAAAGTCAGCAAGTACATCTCTTGAAAGCCCAGTACCGTGCCTCCCTTCTACATTTTGGCCCTTGCAGTTTTCTCCCAACTTCATTAAAGGCACTGCCGATAGGGAAGAGGATTATCTTGGAGGGAAAAGCACACATGCACAAACTTCTCAGAAGCTTGTATTTTTATTACATATAGGAAAGGAGACAGGTCCAGAAGGATGCAGGCTGGTCTGTAGTCTACTATCTTTATACTGGGTTACCTCAGGGAATAGAAGGAGGCATGGGAACACAGAGAGAGATGAATTTCCCATAGATTTGGGAGATAAGAGATCCAAAGCATACTCTGGGGCTGTAACTACATTCGGCTCTGGATGTATTTTTAAGAATTCCGTATTATATGCAACTTTTAAATGTAAAAAATTTGAGTATATGAAGACAGATGATGCACGGGGAAAAGAAAAATCTTAAAAATAAACAAACTAAAAAGTAATAGATATCACTGCAGGAAACCATATGTGTCATCTTCCTTGAAACAGAGACAAGTATGCAAGTCCTAATGGCTCTCCAGACAGATAAGCTGGCTTGAAAAAGGGCTCTTTTTAAACTTTTGAGGCTTCACCTCAAAAACTTAGATACTTCCTTTAGCATAATTTCTAGCAAACACATACTTTTAAATTTGTCCGTGTTAAAGTTCTGGTTTTACTTTATTGGCATTAAGACATTTTGCAACAATGAACAATTGCAGAAAACAGCTTCCCATGATGCTAAATTTTTCCTCATTTGCAGCAAAATGCCAATAGCATTAGATTTGACCAATCTTTATTTTGCCTTACATATTAAAAAAAAAAAAAAAAATTTCCAGGCATGTTCCAACTGGCACTTTTCCCCCCACACTTCGCCGGAGCCGGAGCCGGAGGAGCAGCTCTGCGCCGCCGCCGCGACACGCCTGTTGCCATGGTTACCGCAGCGCCGGGAGGGGGCAGAGGCGCCTGTCAGGCACCAATTTACTTCTCCAGACTGGCACTGCCACCAAAGGGAAGACAAGCTCGCCCACGAATCTCAGCAGAGAACAGAAACCGAGCAAAAATAACCTCATTTTATACCTAAGTATTCTGTGCAGGGAAAGTTTCTAAAATACACTGCTGGACAGCAAAACGTCCACTCTAGTGTTATCTTCTCCACAAAAAAGGTTCCTAAGTTATTCAACTAGTAATAGTACACAATCTTTGTTAAAGTCGTTGATGTTGTCCCGCACCTATACCAATTAAGTTCTGGAATAACATTTCTACAATACAAATAATTCCCTATCAATTAAGCATCAATATGTATGATTTTTTTTTATTTAGGTAGGCTCCAAAGGAGTCACAGTAGTATTGAATATGACAAAAAATAAAAGAGAGAGCACAGCTCAAATTAGAAAAAGGCTTTCGTCCTACCTTTTCACACCTAAAATGTTTTTATTACCTACTTTATGGTTTATGAATATTAAAGAGACCCTTAAAAGTCTGGTAAGCCATTTTGGTATGCAAGTTGAAATAGCATTTTCATTTTTTTTAATTGTGTTTCAATACTTGCTACATAAAGATGCACACCATTTAATTCATTAAAAATTCACTCCAGCTATCACAACATTGAAAAAATCTGAATGCTTAAGATTAAGTGTTTAATCTCAAGAGTCTTGAGCACATTATCGTTGAAACAATCACTTGAAAAAAATACCTGTAGGGGAAAACGTGTTTTGCCTGATTTCATTATATTTGGCAAGCCAGTTTATTCACTAATTGCACAGATTATGCATTTTTATAACGTTGGCTTACAGTTCTTTCTCACTTCCCCTGCATATCTGTCAAAAAATACGCAAAAGCTCCAAATGCACATTAACATATGAACCCCACTCTCTATTTACTTTTCTTGTTTACTTTAGCAATGCTTAGAAACAGCCTGTTCCTTGTTAATTTGTCCAAGACCTTCATGTGCCACGCTGGAGAACTGTGAAAACAACATTAGCTACAGGATTACAGAAGAGTATGAAGGTGTCCAGTACCTGGGGATGAGAGCCGTCAAATCCTTCCTGATAAATGAGCTTCTGAATGGACTGAAGCAGCCTTGCATAACCACAGTTCATATTACTGTTGGTAAGAAGAAAAAGTTAAATAACACATTTTAATACTCTGCTATCTGTCTCTAATAGCTATATTAAAAATAAACAGAAATTAAACAGATGCAGCCTTCTGTCCGAAAGTGTCATATAGAAAAAACAGTCAAAGAATGGGTGAGGGGGGACAAAATCCCTCAACCCCACAACCTTGTTGAACAAAACAGAGATTAAAAGCAGTTGTGATTGCTTCATGTTAACTAGTTCGGCGCGCAGACATCTTGTGAAAGGTAAAGCCTCTAGAGATTAAGATAATTTAATTATGTTAGGCTTCATTACCTCTAGAAAAGTAATGGTTTACTGTAGCATCTTAAAGATGAAACAACTACACAGTATTAATCATGTATAACTGACACATAGTCACCCAACTGTTATTCCAAGTACACCCAGCCAATGCTCTGATGAACACGGTTGATTTTCTATTATTTACATTTTTCATACATACAAGTGCTACAATCAGGGAGTGCACAACCAAACCAGCCAATCATTCCACTTGAGATTAAAAAATTCATTTAGCATAGTTTGTTTTATTAATAATTTTTCTCTTACCATAAAAGAGCTTAAAATACATTCTAGTACAAAATGATTCCATTTTGTACCACATGCTACAGGTATTCATGCTGCTTTATTTGCATGACAACAGAACTGTGAGGTATGGCTTATTTTTTAAAATTATCTAGCAATTATCTCGTAAAATTTTTTAAAAAGCACACTGGTACCTAAAAAACATTTAGACAGATTATCCAGCAAACCCTCTCCTCAAAGTCTCAGAATGTAATCCCCCAATTCCTGGGCATCTAGTGCACTTCAGTTACCCATCCCAGCCACGCTCTCCACTCAACAGGACAATTTATACAAAAACAGAGAGTCTCAATTTTTACTTTAAGCCAGCTGTCTACTTTCAAGAGAGACATACTAGTTTCTTAAATCCATAAAGCACCCTGGCTTGTCGATCTTAACTTGATGCAAGTTTCTCACTGCAGCTAAGAGTTTAGGAAGCCCTTCTATCTTTCCTATCTTCAGCATTTTCTTCTGGCCTCACTAATTACCATCAACATTGCGGATTCATGTACGTCTTGGAAAATATGATAATTTCTTTTGAAGATTTTACCTCTAAAATTATTCTTAGTTCTTGCCATCATTTTAAATGTTTTGTCTGATAACATTAATGAGACTATTCCTGTACTTTAGCAAAAGCCAAAAATGTTACTTGAATGTATTTTACTAATGCACATCTGAATAAATCCAATTAAACTTGCTTTTATAATTTTGTACAGGAGAGAAGACAGCTTTTCTGGAAAGCATTTAAGAGTTACAAACATCTGTCTTTGACACCATTACCTTATTTCAGAATTCCATATTTCTACAAAAAACAGCAGCAGCTCCTCCCCAAAAGATGTATTTAAGCCAACAAAGTCTATAACAAAATCAAAATAGTTATATATTCATAATAATTTCAAGATTTGAAATGCTCAATATCAGAAAACATTAACAGATGAAATGTTCTCAGGTATAAATAGACGGAAGAGCTCAAAATGAAACTCCATTTATTTGTTTTAGTCTCTTTGAAGGGACTAAAGGTCCCTTTGAAGGGACTTACTGGCTAAACTAAGGTACCTTAATACTTTAATCACAGAATGGTTTAGGTTGGAAGGGACCTCCTGAGATCATCTAGTCCAACCTCCCTGCTCAGGCAGGGTCACCTAGAGCATATTGCCCAGGATCACGTCCAGACGGCTTTTGAATATCTCCAGCGAAGGAGACTCCGCCACCTCTCTGGGCAACCCGTTTCAGTGCTCTGCCATCCTCACAGTGAAGAAGTTTTTCCTCAGGTTTAGGTGGAACTTCCTGTGCTTCAGTTTCTGCCCATTGCCTCTTGTCCTGTTGCAGGGCACCACGGAGAAGAGGCTGGCCTCATCCTCTTGACAACCCCCCTTCAGATACTTGTACACATTGACGAGATCGCCTCTCAGTCTTCTCTTCTCCAGACTGAACAGACTCAGCCCTCTCAGCCTTAATACTACCTATACTACCTTAATACTACCTATGAAGTTCATAGACTCAAATAATTGGCAATATATATCTCAATATGACACATGATGTGTAAAGTTTGCCCTGCTATACAAAAAAAGAGCATCACAAACAGAAAAGAAATAGTGGTTTTAAATATTATACCTGTACTATCTTGCAGTTATTGATTTGAGGGGTGGGGAGAAAAGAGAGCTTTAGCTTTCATGCTAGCCAAAAATCTCTCACCCCTCCATGTCATTGACTTCGCATACCAGCAACACATACAAGCCTTGATGCTTAGCAGCACTTCGAAATAACCAGAAGCATTAGCGTACCTTTTCGGATATTCCTCTATCCTTTTGGAAAAGATAGAAGCTGCTACTCATCAACATTAGGAAGGAGTTTGCAACTTGTAGCCACATCTAGGAACACAGTATGCAAAATAATACAAGACAACTGTGGCTTTTGTCACCAGAATGTAGCATTTTCAATTTTGTGTATGAATATAAAGAATTGTAGTCATAATTTATAATGCAAGTGGAAAGGAACAGTCTTCTGTTTTCAAGAAAGGATCTATCCACTTATTTTGCTCCTAAGTATTACAGTGCTATCCATAGGGAAGTCAGGGAATACATTTCAACCATGATACTTCCTAACTCCTCGTTTGTTACTATATTGCTTTTAAAAATGGATAAAAGAATAAAACACTTGCACCTTTATCAGAATTAAAGAGTCCCCAAATTAAGAAGAGAACATTTCTTTAATTAACCTATCAGAAGAAGATTTGAAGCAATGGAAGAATTCAAGAAAAAACTTTAATGTAATGCATACAGATTGATTTTGAATGTAATAAAAGGTACTCTTCAGCTTCTGGCTAAAACATTAATGGTTTATTTGAATTTGAACCATGCTATGTAAATAAGGACATGAAAAATATTGCTGAAACACTGTTTCTGAAAACAAGTTATATTACCCTTCTGGCAATGTTTGTCATAATATTTAAGGAAGGAAATAAGATATTTTTGATTTTCTAATTTCTAGTCTTTTTTGTCTTTGTTACTAAACACACTTTAATTCTGATAATGAGTTCAAACAATTCTTTCTTTACCCTTTTTTTTGTTTAGCAATTTAGTAACGGATAAAGCTGGAGGTATCCTGGTTACAACAGAGCCTTTGACTTCCCTATTGATAGTTTCTAAGCATTTAACAAAGGTTAAGTTATCAAGGGTATGACAAATAGCCTTATTATGTATAAGGAGACCCCATTAGGAAAGACGGTTAAATCTGTTTTATCTAAATCTATCTGTAAATCTAGATACTACATACATTTATTCTTTTTTCAGAAAAGAATTGGCAATTGGTAACTATAATTGAACAATCACGATAGAAGTAGAGGAGCAGAAAGTAACTCTCTTCTGTGATGCACACAGTTATCACAGTGGATATTTTTGCCATTCCTGTTAAGTACCAGTTTTACCAATGCAATGAAAAGGGCACCAGAATATCCTAGCAACTGGAAAACAGTCACTGTCAGCTCCACAACCCAGTGAGCTTTGTCCCAGTGTTAGGGTAGGACACAAATGCCCTTCCCTAATACAAAAATTAATGAGGTAGGAAAGAGAAGGTTGATGCCTTCTAGCATCAAACACCCATTCACATTTAGTATTTCCTTTAAGATAATAGACTTCCCAATCTGTTTTCAATTAAAGTTTATATTAGGGCAATGAACTGCCACCCATCTTGAGTTATTATCCAAAAGGGGGCCCTGTAATCTAATGTAGCCATTAGGTGCCAGAACTACAGAAAGAAGAGCAGATATGATACTCCTTGTCTACTTCCTCCAAAGAAAACACACACATACAACACCACACTGGAAAGAGAAAAAAAACTGCTCCAAACTTTAAGGCGAACAAATGATGTCTAAGATTTCCAAGTCAGATCCTTCTGTAATTGCAAAGCAAAAGGCGAGTCAATAACCCAGTTCTGTCTAACCAGTCAACTAAAGAACTTCTCTTTGCAAGTCCATAAGGAAGCTAAATGCTTGGGAAGACAGAAAGAGGGAGACTTTTTTTTTTTTTAATCTGTATGTGATTTCTAAAAAGTGCCATGAGTTTCTGGTCCAAATAAAGCTTCTCCATCTCGGAACCTGCAATGGCAGCACTGTAATTATCATGCAACAGACATGAGCTACAGAAACAGTTACCTCACTGGAGAACATGCTAAATAAAATAGTTTTGTTAGTGTGATGTTAGAGAATTAGAAACATCCAAATGATTTGGTCCTTTTTACAGATATATGGCTCCTATGCCACAAAACATTACTACAAAGGACCCTGCTCATTAATACTTACGTTTTCAAAGTGTCACAAAATTTATGTTTACAAAACTCTTTGTTTCCACCTGGAAAGCATAAGTTGTGCAGGAGAACTGGGTACACTGCTCTTCTTTTATATTCTGCTTTAACTGCATAATCTGTTCTTTGTCATTGCATCCCTGAGCTGTGAAAGGAAAAGAGAGCAAAACGTTGCTCCTCTTGTTCCCCGTCTCTTCCCAGCCAACAGAAGGGTGGGGGTGGAGAACTGGTCCAAACTGCAAGAATGAAAAATGATATCTAAGAACTCCAAAGCTAGTCACAACTCTAATCGGAAAATGAAGGGAAAAGGAAAGCTGGTCAACAAGGTGACTCCTAGATGCCTCTAGTCAGTTATAGGTTAAGTGTACCTTCTTTGAGGAACATTCACAACAGCTAAAAGTAGTCGGTCTGTATCATGGAAATAGAAGAAAACCAAAAAAAAGACAACACTTTCAAACCTTTCTTTACAAGTACTAGCTTAGCCAAAGCAGAACATATAGCTTATGACCGCAGTGTAGAATTTTATTTTATTTGATTATACTTCTTTCTGATACATTAAAGATACAACTTCTACTACCAGAAACGATTTTTCTTTAAACAGAGATTTATAGA